AGTAAGCATTGATAGGAAAGCAAACTTTTCTTCATTTTGTTTCAAAAACTCGAGAACCTAAAAAGAGCAAAGTTGAGACATTTTATCAAAGAAAAAGTTCCCTTTACCTTTCGAAGGTAGTCATCCTCAAGTTCTGTACTTAGAGAAAATTCGCGTTTGATAAGAATTTTGAGTGCTGGAAGCAGGACTGTGTCGATATCGGCTGCTTGGATGGACATCTTCCCGTACCTTTCCAAACACTCTTGATCAAGCTGAAAGAAAATGTTAATCCCACTTATACTGCTCGAAAATTCGGATACCTGCAGATTCCGTCTTCCAATCTCGTTTTCATCAAACACTTCTGTCATTTCTTTGAGTGAATACAAGTGATTTGTATCGAAATCACGAATTCCACTGCCATTACGGATCTAAACACATTGGAAAGGTGTTGTTATATATAATAAAAGAAGCAAAATGAGAACTAGCCAACAGATTCAGGACAGCTTCTGGAAGTGCTCCCAAATCACGCTCATAAAAGTCTACAAACGCATCCTTGTCCCGCTTCGATAGCTTCTTTTTACTGTCACGGGTAATCAAGGGTATATGTAGAAATTTCGGATTCTGCCATCCAAATGCCCTAAATGGAGCTCTGCATAATTGTAATATTTGTATAATCTAGTATTAGACATGATTATCGTTGACGAATTGCATAGAAGTATGATGAGATTAGAATTAGCTTTCTAAGCCAAAATTCAAAAATGGCTTAATAGCATGAAAGCAATTGCGTTGGTCTAAATCAAAAACTCTATGCACTTAAACCTACAATTTTTTTTCCTGAACGAGGTCTTGTGTACTTTGGTGCGAAAAAAACTGTCAGCTTAAGAAAAGCAAGGCATATATGGAGTATATATTAGTGACGTAATTTTTTAATGTATGAAATAGGCTAGCTCTCACTAATGTTTTCGATGTCCCACAACATGCAAATGAGTGAGGTCAAAAACAAGTTATTAACATACATATGCTATGATCGTACTACATAATCTAAACAGATTGGTCTGATGCGCGCTTCGCATTGTCCACTATGTAGCTGACTAATGTAAGGTATAAGGCGATTTGGAAATAGAGTGTTGAGTGCTCAAGAAAAACTTGGGACGTAAAAAACACGCAACTTGAAGAGTTACCTATACAATAACACATGCTTTCCTGTACTGCTTAGCCACTCCATACCACGTATGACATGGGATATCTGCATAAATCGATCATCTACAATGTTAGCCAAATGGTAAGTCGGGAATCCATCAGATTTGAGCAATACCATATCACTCTCGTCGATGTTCTGTTCAATTGAGCCAAAAATCTCGTCCTGAATTCAAATATATAGGAGCGGCATTAGGGTGGTTCTTCAAAATTATATCAGGGAAAAACGACAATTATAAAGTCCTTACCTCGAAGCTTACATCTTGCCTATCCAATATGAATCGAACGACGAAAAGTTCACCATTAGCAGCACGGGCTTTGGACTCATTTTTGCTAACGGAACGACATTTCATGTCGTATTTTGGTACAGCATTTCTTCTAACTGCGTCTTTGCGAAGGAGAGATAAACGCTGAAACTCGGCAATAACAACGATAGGAACAACTTGAATCAGACTCTTGGACAGAATCTAACACTTCCATCTTTAGTACCATGTCTTGCATGAATTACAAGCATAAAACTATTAGCCATTTTGTGGCACTGTGGAGATGTTGGTATGCAGTAATTTTTGGAAATTAGACATTTACTAGTGCGTAGATCCCTAGAAAACAAAAGGCGTCAATCAAAAAAAAAGATCTTTTTCTTCGACGATTGTGTGAAACTAAGTACTCGAGATTATAGATGTCATTTTAAGCGGTGCTAAACAAATACTCACTTCTTCTGAGCAAAAACATCGGTAAGCATGTCCCGCATCAATCAGCTGATCCACAGCATCCTTGTACAACGACAAACGTTCTGATTGTACATAAGGTCCAAAAGCTCCTCCTTTACTAGGACCCTCATCGTAATTTAATCCATAATGTGTCAGAACCCGTTCAATCTGTAGAATTACAAGCTTTGATGCTGCTTGGCAAGGTTGAGCTGAACCCTTACCTCCTCAGCACTCCCTGGGACTAATCTTGCCTTATCTGTGTCTTCTATTCGTAGAATAAAACTGCCCTTGTGATGGCGTGCAAATAGATAGTTGTAAAGTGCAGTTCTTAGTCCACCCAGGTGTAGGTGACCCGTTGGACTTGGTGCAAATCGCACTCGAACCTTGAAAAGTAATTTGAAAAATTATTCCAGACAGTTTTCCGCAGCAGGGCCAAGATGACTTGTGACACACACATCTTTTAATCAGGTTACAATAAAATAAAAGTCTTCAGCTAACCTAAGGCCAAAAAATGTAATCATACGCGCTTCTGAATGAGCTCGTTTTTTGGATTTGATGTCTTATGTGCAATTGCACCATGTGGCTTAGTTCACAAAGGACGCGGCAATACATGAAATAGTTGATAAGATGTTCTGATACGGTTGACAATAGTGGAAAAGATTGAGCCGACGAAAATATAAGAAGAACAGCAAATCACTAACTATTGAAATTTTATTCATTTTAAGTTATTTCATACCTGTTTAGCTGAGCAAAGAAATCTTCTTGATAATAACCAAATCATCTATAATGTCCGTCTCATTGCCAGTACATTTCTAGAAGCAAGACATACAAGCAGCGCATAAAACTAAAGAAAGAAATACAAGCATAAAAGGTACGCTTTTGAACACTTGTTTTTTCCTAACTGAATTATGCAAACTATCTTCCAAGAATTACAGGCCGAATTAAACGAGTTCTCCACATCAGTATTTCATCT